TACTACTACTACTACTACTACTACTACTACGGATAATAATAATTAAAATAGTAATAATAATAATAAATAAATAGTTTTATTCCCACCCAACAGCAGTCAGCAGGAATGAGCGGCGGGACTTCTCCTTCTTGCAGCGCAGGTGTATCAGTCTCTGGCTGAAGGAGCTGCCCAGTGGTGTCGGGGTGGCCTGGGGGGGGTCGGTCCATCACAGCTGTTAGCTTAGCTAGCATCTTCCTGTTGCCCACGTCTTCCAGAGTGTCCAGATAGCAGCCCAGGACAGAGCTAGCCCTGCTGACCAGTTGGTGCAGTCTCTCTCTGTCCCAGGCTGAGATGGTGTCTGACCATCAGACGATGCCATCATGAATGTCTGAGGCCACCACAGAGCCATAGAAGGTCTTAAGGAGTGACCCAAAACTGAACTCCAAAAGACCTCAGTTTTCTGCCCCTTCCTGATCAGAGCGTCCGTGTTGTTAGACCAGTGTAGTTTATTGTTGAGAAGAACACCCAGGTATTTGTCCATACCCTGGATGTTCATCAGTGCAGGTAAAGATTGTTTCCTGCAGAAATCCACAACCAGTTCCTTAGTTTTCTTGGGGTCGATCTACACATGCTCACTTTGACCTCTGAAAATACACTCTTTGGATGATGGTCTCCTATATTGTGGATTTCATGTAAGCTTCATGGAGAAAAAGCTGGACAGAGGTGCGGGTTCAATTACTGGCTCCGGCCTTCCTGTATGGAGTTTGCATGATCTCTCCATGGCTGCGTGGGTTTTCTCGGTTTCCTCCCACATTCAAAAAAACATGTATGGTAGGGTAATGGAGCACTCAAAATTATCCCTTGGTGTGACGGAGAGCGTGAATGTTTGTTCGTCTATGTTTGCCCTGTGATTGGCTGGCAACCAGTTCAGGGTGTACACTGCCTACTGCCCAAATATGGCTGGGATAGGCTCCATCATGCCCGCGAATCCTGCAAATAATGGATGGATGGATTTTATTTGTTTTCATGTCTTTATGTGGTCTCACTCGACCTGACCCCTCAGAGCTCTCTCTGCACCAGCCCAGTGCCTCAGGTCAGCAGATCAGATGCTATTGGAGGTACGGAGGACTAAGCCGAGCTTCAGAGATAATCGAGCCTTTTCCGTTGCTGGTTCCTCACTTTGGAATGACCTGCTTTCGGCCTCCCTGTCCATTTTTAGAACTTGTCTTAAAACACATTTTTATTCGCCAGGCTTTGGCTCAGCATAAGACTCAGCTTTTGGTGTTTTATGATGTTTATTGTTTTTATGTTCTTAATTGATTGTTTTAACTGTCTTTGTTATTGTAGGAATAATTTTACTCCATTTACAGCACTTTGTATGCAGCAATGGTTCTTTTAAAGTGGTCTATAAATAGAGTATTCAGAACCAAGTAATCAATGTTTATTGACCAACGACCAAAACATATTCCAAATCTGAATATAACAAACAATTGAAGTTTTAATGACAAAACATTTTTAATTATTTAAAAAAAATCTGAGGGTAATGTAATGTAAATGTCTTTTAGGGGAGTGATGCTTGTACCCACAGCCCTTCACCATCTCCTCCCATGCATGCGAATAAAGCCTTCACTAGGGAACTGAATTTTTTCTTATTGACCTCCGCCAACACACGGAGACAGCAAACAACTGTCTCCCCAAGACTTTCAAAGAACTAAGCTCAGCAAAAATCGGATTTAAAGTCAAAAGAACCTGTGGAAGGAAACTGCAGAGAAGCTCATCCGTCACTTCTCTGAGTCCTTTGAACCTGAGAAAGTGGCCAGGAAGTGCAGCACATTTATTGAAAAAAATTTAAAGGACAACAACAAAGCATAGCCCACAACCCATATGCTTTAAGTTTCCACCTAGGCTGATGAGAGGACCCCGGATTTCTTTCAGACTCAGTGCCTCATAAGTGAAATAGTCATGGATTTGGCAGTTTTCTGGCCAATCTATTACATTACTGTCCACTTGTGTATGTCACTCTCTGTGTAAATGGACCAATGGTAACTTAAATCCTCAGCATCCGGTTCTTTTTTAACCTACTTTTTCCTTTTTTAGCTGCACCCACACTTTCAGCATCCATTTTTATTACATCTTCTGGATATAGAGTCCTGTGTTAAGCGCACTGTCATTATTTTATGTTGATTTTTTTTTTCCCACATTTTGTTCATCTTGCCTTATTCTTCTTCGCCCAGCGTCCACGGATTTTTCGATTTAACATCGTCTTTCAGCTGTGTGGTTTTGAGTGATCAGTACTTAAGGCCTGTTTTCTGGCTGCCCCCAGCGTGGTGGACTTCCTCTATGAAGCGCGAAGGCTCCCCCTGCTGGTGAATTTGCCACACAACATCTTTCATCTGGCAAATCGAGCTGCATTGTTGTGTCCAGAGTCAAGTCTTTTTGAAAGAAAAAAAAAACCCCGCCATTCTGTCTCTGACATTCTCATTTTCCTCACCCCAAACTTGCATGTTTCAGCCAGTTTGTACGATCCTCCTATAAAATTCTCAGCTTTTTCATTTTGGTTTCAGTACTCGCTGATGGAATTGGGCTCCCGCGTGTATAATAATCTCTTGAGGAGGAATGTACTGGTCAACTTTTATAAAAACATATTTTTCTCATGATCTTGTGTGCGGAATGTGAATGACTTCATTGTGTTTTCAGCCTCAACAGCTTCTGCCTTGGGCTGCCACTCCTCCTGTTAATCCCGATTTTTTTTTTTTCCTCATCAGAGAAGCCAGAGCATCTTCAAAGGATGTGACACAGACGTTCAAATGGGCACATGCAGAATTTCTACCATTTGATCTCATTGATGAGCAAGGAAATATTGCATTAGGATCCTGCTTTCTGACTACAAAGTGTGTTTGAGAGGGTGTTCCCTGGTCTAAGCAAAGTTGCACAGCACACCTTGACATTGTCTGGATCGACCTACAGCACTGAGTCAGCGTTTTCAACAATGAAGTATGAACACCATGCTCTGCTTGCATTTTCCCCCTTAACTCATTTGATGCTCCATCCATCCATTTTCTGATCCGCTTATCCTCACAAGGATCGTGGGGTGTGCTGGAGCCTATCCCAGCCATCTTCGGGCAGTAGGCGGGGGACACCCTGAACCAGTTGCCAGCCAATCGCAGGGCAAATACAGACGAACAACCATCCACGTTTACACTCACATCTAAGGACAGTTTAGAGCAGGAGTGCCCATTACGTCGATCCTGACCGACCGGTAGATCGAGGACAGGTCCCAAGTGTATCCGAGGGGTGTAGAGGAGAAGGAAAAAAAAACCAACAATTTGTGTGTCTCTGTACATGTCAGTAATATATTTTTTGTGTTAATATACGCTGCACCCTAATCATCCTATCAGTCTCATTTTCACGAAAAAATATTTTAAAACTAAAATAAAATAAAGCTGGTAAATCATTAACCTACGGTGGCACGTGATCTACGTCACCGGAAGTTGTTAGCGCTCAGCAGCCTGCAACTGCAGCTTGTGATCAGAGCTGTTGCGCTACATCTTTCATCGTCATTATTCTCATTCAGAGTTTGCTTCGTGTACAATTCACCGAGGGCATGGGCAAAGAATAGGAATCTAGAGGGCCCAGAGAAGCACTTTAAAACGGTACGTGTGAGCTAGCTAGATAGTTAGCAGGCTGCAAAGGTGCATCGCATGCTTCCCTGTCAGGCTGTTTCTCATCATAGTGTGCGTGCGCTCGCGTGTGCGCGTGCGCGTGTGCGCGGTAAGGGGCGATCCCGGGAGGTTGGTTGATCGAAGTCGATCTGAGGTCCAAAAAGTTTGGACACCCCTGGTTTAGAGTGTTCAATCAGACTGCCATGCATGTTTTTGGAATGTGGAAGGAAGCCTGAGTACCCGGAGAAAACCCACGCAAGCCTGGGGAGAACATGCAAACTCCACAGCTGGAATTGAACACGGTGCCTCTGCACTGTGAGGTCGAGGCGCGAACCACCGGACCACCGGGACGCCCTCATTTTAATGCTGAAAGGTAAAAATACGTTTGCCAAAAAAACAATCATTTATCGCCAAAACGTACAAATACGTTTTGGGTGGGGGTTTTTTGTTTGTTTTTATTGCTTTGTGCACCTCCTCAGTCAGTATCAAGGTGGTGGGAATGATTTCAACATGATAAATCAGTACTAGATAGCAGGGGTGGGTTTGATCAGATCTTGGTCGCAGACAATGTGAGTGGGTGTGAGGTGCGGTACGGCGATTCTATGGTGATCCTTTGTCGCGAGGTGATGTGTGGAAGCAGTGTGGTGTTGAGAACATGGATAAATACTGGCAGCTTACTCTACAACAGAGCTTTTTTAAAAACAAAAAAAGATATCAAAGTCTCATAGTCATCAATGACGAAGACACACACACACAAACACACACACACACACACACACACACACACGCTTACTCTACAACAGAGCTTTTTTAAAAACAAAAAAAGATATCAAAGTCTCATAGTCATCAATGATGAAGACACACACACACAAACACACGCACACACACACACACACACACAAAGTTTAACGCTCATGAAAACTTCATGCATGATTCATGCATCAGTGCAGTGTTTTTCTTGCAATAAACTGTTATTTTTTTCCAAAGTGACCTTTTTTGTGTTGTTTATGTTGTGATTCAATATGAAAGAATTGTTTAGATATTTGAGGTATCATGAATGCAAAAAAATAGCATCAAAGTGAAAGTTGTTGGACAGTGCGTTGGTGCGGCTTAATGGATGGCTTGTGGAACCAAGGATGAGGACAGAGGGGCGTCGGCAGTGTGGATGCGTATTTGTGTTGGAAACGGATTTACATGATACAAGTGAAGTGAACCAATCTCTTTTTACGTCAATCTCCTCTTTAATCTAGAACAGCTTCAAACAACAAAGCGTATGAGGGAAAAGTTGAGATTGCACGATTGTCTGTATTTTTATGTTAGGTGTTGTGTTTATATTTTTATTTTATGTTAACTGTTTTGTAAAGCGCTTTGTTACAGCTGCAGCAGTTGTGAAAGCATTATACAAATCAGTATGTATTGTATCGTATTGTATAATTCAATACCCTTGTCCAAGACGTTCACTTGACAACAGAAAATAGCATCCAGTCAGGTTGTGCGGCACATGTGTCTGCTGGAAGTCGACCATTTTATTTCAATTGTAAAATTTTGTCAGAATCACAAAGGTTGACAGTCTGTGCTTCACAATGATACAGTTGGATAGAAACTGGAGTTGAAATAGCACAATAGATAGCGTACTAATTTTTTGTGGCGAACCATGAATTTTGTCCATTCATATGAACAATAGTATAGAAACATGGAAAAGTCTCTATGTAGCTGAGATATAGGTCAATCACCAAAAGGGGTTGATATTGAAGGACATTTTTTACCCCACGGACGGTTTAATGTCAGACAATATTTTCAAGGACTGGCCTTTAAGATGTGACAGATAAATACAACAAAATAATATGATATGACCTGCATGAAAACTGTGGTATTTTGTTAACATAAGAACCAGGAATCATGACATGAAGAACGTTCTGCATGGCCGCAACACGCTCTGGTCACTATGGTAACGTTTAATCGTGCCTTCAAAATACGATCCACTGCAATTACAAAGTGCATGAAAACTACATTTCACGATCGCCGCATATTATGCAGAGTGGGCTTGGTGTGTGGGAATCTCCCGTTGAGATAAATCCGTATTTGAAGTATGACTCCTGATACTGTCCATTAACTATAGCCTTCTTTTTCTTGAAAGTCGTAGCCCTCTCTTCTGTCTCCTGGCTTGGCCTTTTCCCATTCCCACAGAAACTTTCCAAAGATGTTTGTTTTTTTTACTCATTTTGCTACCTCCCGGTTTCATTTTAGCTGTAACCTATCATGTGACCGAGAAGCGCGCCTTGACCTGCGTCAAGAGTGACATACTGTAGAACACCTATGTCAAAGTGCCGCCCGTGGGCCACATCCGGCCCGCGAGAATGTTTTCAGTGGCCCCTGGGATGATATTGATTTATT